CTAGTTGCCAGTAAGGTTGAACTTGTTTTCATATATTTGTTGGCTGCTTGTATGTTTTCTTGGGACAGGTATATTTTTATTTCCTCTGCCCACTTTTTGATTGGGTTGTTTGTTGGTTTGGTGTTGAGTTTTATGAGTTCTCTATATATTTTGGAAATTAAACCTTTGTCGGAGCTACTGTTTGCAAATATCTCCCATCTGGTTGGAACTGGAAAAGCAAAGTCAGCACATTTGCTTTTAATTTTATTTATTTATGTATTGTTAATATTCATCCCAGGTTATTTTTTCTGTTAATTTCTACAGAAAGTGTGGGGGTGGGGGTGGGGGGAGAAACATCAATGTGAGAGAGGCACATCAATTGGTTGCCTCCTGTATGTGCCTGGACCTGGGGGGCCAAGGAATGAGCCTGAGACCCTTTGGTTTACAGGCCGATATGCTCTAACCCATCCGTGGGCAAACTACGGCCAGCGGGCTGGATCCAGCCCGTTTGAAATGAATAAAACTAAAAAAAAAAGACCGTATCCTTTTATGTAATGATGTTTACTTTGAATTTATATTAGTTCACACAAACACTCCATCCATGCTTTTGTTCCGGCCCTCCGGTCCAGTTTAAGAACCCATTGTGGCCCTCGAGTCAAAAAGTTTGCCCACCCCTGTTCTAACCAGTGCTCTGGGCACCGGCCAGGGCACGTTTGCTTTTTAAGCTATTACCTGTATTATGCTACTGGGTCTTTTGTTTGTGTATGCATGTATGTGTTGTTTTTTTGAACTATTTGAGAATAAGTTGCAAGCATGTGCCCCTTTGCCTTAAATACTACATACAGTATTACCTAACAGCAAGGACATTACATGGCATTTGTTCACAAAATCAAGAAATTAACTTTGATACAATGCTGTTATCTAAGCTTAGACCTTATTTAGATTTAGACATTTTTCCAGTAATGTTCTTCGTAATTCAAAAGGAAAATCCAGGGTCATGCACTTCATTCAATTGTCATATCTTTGGTTTCCTTTATGCTTCATTCATATTGAAAATAGTCAATCAGGTACACCTGAAACTAATATAATATGGCATGTCAACTGTAATTGAAAAACAAAAATTTAAAAGTAAAATAGTGAATTGATTTAATTTTAGCAAACCTAACTCTAGAGACCAAAAATTTATTTTCCCCATAAATTTTTTATTTTGTTATGCCTAATAATTTTCATTCTGCTTCAGCTCTGCCATTTCTGTTATTATTTACATGTTTCTATTTTGCTCATTTTAAATAACCACCTATATACTGCTGTTTAGATGAAATTGCCAACAGTCTTGCCCTCTGTGAACTGTTATAAACAGTTCACAATAAAAATAAATAAAATAAAAATCAATGGAAAAAATACCCTTGGGTAAAGATTAAAAAAGAAAGAAAAAAATTACAAGGTTCGCCCTAATTGGGTTTGGCTCAGTGGATAGAGTGTCGACCTGTGGACTCAAGGGTCCCAGGTTCGATTCCGGTCAAGGGCATGTACCTTGGTTGCGGCCACATCCCCAGTTGCGGGTGTGCAGGAGGCGGCTAATCAATGTTTCTCTCTCATTGATGTTTCTAACTCTCTATCCCTCTCCCTTCCTCTCTAAAAAATCAATAAAATATATATTTTTTAAAAATTACAAGGTTGGATAAGGGAAGTTAGAGTAAGTTGTTTCACTTTTTTTTTAAAGTGCTGTTAAAGTTGTCTGAAAAATGAATGCAAGCCAAAAATGTGTCTAGCTACTTTTTTCCTCCCTTCTTTCAATATATTTTTATTGATTTCAGAGAGGAAGGGAGAGAGAGAGAGAGAAAAACATCAATGATGAAAGAGAATCATTGATCGGCTTGTGAAAGAGAATCAATGATGAAAGAGAATCATTGATATAGCCCACACTGGGGATTGAGCCTACAACCTGGGCATGTGCCTTGACCAGGAATCAAACCATGACCTCCTGGTTCGTAGGTAAACACTCAACCACTGAGCCATGCTGGCTGGGCTCTAGCTTCTTAATGTTCATTTTTTTCTTAATCTTAAATTACTAACCTCTTGAAACACCTGAAGTTAAGCCATTCCTTCCAATTCAAAGTCCCAGGCATACATAAGAATAAAATAATGAGTTGGACCAATATTTTAAATCAGTGGTGAGGGGAAAAATTAGTAAATGTTGTAGGAAAATTAGTTTCCAAGTGGGACAGTCTTTTGGAAACTAACTTCAGTCTGAACAAAACTGAGTCAAGTATTAAATTGAAAACCAATAAAGAAATAAATACAGGTGAATATTTATTTATGTATTCTTAGTATGGAGAAGGGCTTTTAAAAGTGAAAGTAAAAAAACATTTATACAGAAAAACTGTTTAATGACTTTGGCTACATGAAAGTGAAATTTACCCAGAACCCATAAATAAAAGATTGGTGAAGGACTGTGAGAAAATATCTGTTGTATATACAATGTGCCAATAAAAAATGAGAAATAGCCCGACCGGCGTGGCTCAGTGGTTGAGCGTCAACCTATGAACCAGGAGGTTATGGGTTTGATTCCTGGTTAGGGCGCCTGCCTGTTTTCGGGCTCGATTCTCAGTCGGGATGTGTCCAGGAGGCAGCCGATCAGTGATTCTTTCTCATCATTGGTGTTTCTACCTCTCCCTCACCCTTCCTCTGAGATCAGTAAGAATACATTTTTAAAAATAAATAAATAAAATGAGGACAGTCCTAGCCAATTGTGTTCAGTGGATAGAGTGTCGGCCTGCGGGCCAAAGAGTCCCAGGTTCAGTTCCAGTCAGGCACGCACGTATCGTGGTTGCAGGCTCCTTCCCGGCCCTGACCCTGGTCAGGGCTCATGCAGGAGGCAACCAGATGTTTCTCTCTCTCTCCCACTCTCTAAAAATCAATGGAAAAATATCTTCCAGTGAGGATTAACCAAAAAATAAAAATAATTAAATAAAAATAATAAATCAATTAATTAAATAAAATGAGAAGTGGAACAGAAATTTTTAAATGGCAAAAGAATATAAATGAGAGTTATAAAACTACAAGTGATCAACAAGAAAATTTCAACCTAAGCAGTAATCAGATAAATTCAGGTTACAAGTATTTCTTTTTGCTTAGCACATTGGTAAGGGAAAAGAAAAATGGCTGATTTTAACAAAGATTCAGAAAGATTGGCAGTTTTATTCATTGTTGATGGAACTGTGTGAATTGAAGTAACTGTCTTCTGGGATATTGCGATAATGTGTATGTTTTCGTTTGTTTTAATCAAAGCCTTAAAAATACACATACTCTTTGTCCTGGTGGTGCCATTTCTAGAAACATTCTAAGAGGATAATTGCCTAGATGCCAAAAAAAATCACCAGAGTATTCATCTTTATAAGCGTTTTTTAAAATTTCCAGCCATAGGTATTAGATAAATGATGGTATCTTCATGCAAAACTATTAAAGAATATGGAGCCCTAACCGGTTTGGCTCAGTGGATAGAGAATTGGCCTGTGGACTGAAAGGTCCCAGGTTCGATTCTGGTCAAGGGCATGTACCTTGGTTGCGGGCACATCCCCAGTAGGAGGTGTGCAGAAGGCAGTTGGTTGATGTTTCTCTCTCATCGATGTTTCTAACTCTCTATCCCTCTCCTTTTCTCTCTGTAAAAAAGTCAATAAAATATATATATATTTTTAAAAGAATATGGAAATACTTCCTGGCCCATGTGGTTTGATGTTTAGAGCATCAGCCCATACAGTGAAAGGTTGTAGGTTTGATCCCTGGCCCCAGTAGGGGTGTGTTCAGGAGGCAACCAATTGATGTGTTTTACATTGATATTTCTCACTCTTTCTCTCCCTCTCTCTTTTCTTCCACTCTTCCCTCTCTCCTTCCCTTCTACTCTCTCTCTAGAAAAAAAAAATCAATGGAAAAAATATCCTCGGGTGAGGATTAACAACAACAACAAAAGAATATGGACATATGTTCACAACATGTTAAGTGAAAAGATTATAAAATGACAGTACAGTGCCATTTTTATAAACATAATACATCTAGTATATCCATAGCAAAATATGGGAAGACATCTATATATATCAGTGTGTGACAACATGAGAGCTAACTCTAGGTAGTAGTTATTAACTGGCTTTTATTTTCTTTAAATATATATATTTTTTATTGATTTCAGAGATGAAGGGAAGGAGAAATAGAAACATCAATGATAAGAGAGAATCATTGATCGGCTGCCTCCTGCATGCCCCACACTGGGGATCAAGCCCGCAACCCAGGCGTATGCCCTGACCGGGAATTGAGCCATGACCTCTTGGTTCATAGGTCGACGCTCAGCCACTGAGCCACGTTGGCCAGGCTTTCTCCTGCTTATTTATGTTTTGCTTTATGTCAGTTACTGTGGGAAAACATGCTTCATGTTTCTTATGTAAAAAGCAGCACATTTGTATAAGATACTATTCTCCCTATAACCAAAGCCACTTGATAAGAAAGCCAGACCTGAGAAAGATCTGGCCTGCTTTCACCTTACTAAGAACCAGTTTCCAGCTCCTCATACTTCCACATCCACAACCACTGGATAAGAATAGAATCTCGTCTGCTTAGGTGGTAGGGGGTCGGCCTTGTCCAGAATAGCCTTACCATTCCTGGATTACACAGTGTCCTTCAGTTTAGCAAGTGCCACAGGTGTTTTAGGTGGCCATTTCTGTAGTGCTGAGGGCCTATAAAAGTAAAAAATTATTTCTTCTGGCCTTAGCTGGTTTGGCTCAGTGGATAGAGCTTCAGCCTGCAGGGTCCCGGGTTCAATTCTGGTCAAGGGCATATTCCCAAGTTGTGGGCATGATCCCCAGTAGGTGGTGTGCAGGAGGCAGCCAATCAGTGATTCTCTCTCATCATTGATGTTTCTCTTTCTCTCCCTCTCCCTTCTCTGAAATCAATAAAAATATTTCCCAAAATGTATTGCTTCTGGAAAAATGCATGTTATTAATCTCCTACTTTGACAATTATCTCTTCAGGACGTAAACCAGAAGAAGAAGGTGTGGAAGATAATGGGCTGGAGGAAAATTCTGGGGATGGACAGGTATGTGTAGCATTGACAGTGATTCTGCTCAGCGATGGACCAGTAGCAGTTCATTTGTTGATGGCTGTTTTGTTATGTCACAGGAGGATGTTGAAGCCAGTTTGGAGAACTTGCAGGACATTGACATGATGGATATCAGCGTGTTAGATGAAGCAGAAATCGATAATGGAAGTGTTGCAGATTGTGTGGAAGATGATGATGCTGATAATCTCCCAGAGTCTCTGTCTGATAGTAGAGAGCTAGAGGGAGAAATGAAAGAGCTTCCTGGGCAACTTCAAGAACATGCTCTAGAGGAAAGAGAAACTATAAATAACTTAGATACTTCATCATCTGACTTCACTATGTTACAGGAAATTGCGAACGACCCTTTCACAGGGGTCGCCTAAGACCATCGGAAAACACATATATAATTATGTATTGTTTTTGTGATTAATCACTATGCTTTAATTATGTTCAATTTGTAACAATGAAATTGGGGGTCACCACAACATGAGGAACTGTATTAAAGGGTCACGGCATTAGGAAGGTTGAGAACCACTGCTCTAGAATGTGCCCTGAGTGCATCAATTCCTCAAATGTCATAATAGATGAGAAGTGGAATATATGCTATACATTTGCAGAATGCTACATTAAACGTTTCAGGGACATTATTGAAGGCCTGTCTGCCAGGCATTGGGCATTAATGTTCTTTAATTGGGGGAGAGGGTTTGGGGGGGTGGTGGTTAAACCTCACTAACTCCAGGATGATAAGAGGATAAGAATTAAGACCAGACCTATTCCAGAGTCCATGTACTTAACTCATGCACCATGTTGTCTTGGTACCATTTATTAGATTATTTTACTTTTATGAGGATAAATTTGCTAAGTATACAGAAAAAGTGATAGATCATTGGGGCTTTTCCAGTCCTCTGCTTCTGTCCCCATACTCTGATTTGGGAGTTGATAATGGTAAGAGGCAGGGTTCTCAGAGATGCCATTCCATTCGGGGCTGTTGCCACCTCAGGGGCAACAGTCCCATTGTCATTGGCATCCAGGTTTCGGGAAGGTGGTGGTGGCCACTGAAGTCCAAGAATCCACTCCAACGCCTGATTCTGGGCATTGTTCCCTGAAGAGTAGTCTCCAAACCTCATGCTCCAATCTACTTGTAAATCTATACTACAGTAGCCCCGCTTATCCATGGGGATAGGTTCCAGACCCCCAGCAGAATCACACTATATTGCTCTTTTGATTTCTGCACTGTATTCAGAATTTTATCAGGTGATTTTTAAAAATTGATTTTTAGAGAGAGAGGAAGGGGGAGGGAGAAAGAGAACCATCAATCTGAGAGGGAAACATTGATTGGCTGCTTCCTGCAAGCTCCTTACAAGGATTGAGCCCACAACCCAGGCATGCACCCTGACTGGTAATCAGACTTTCATTACACAGGACAGCCCCCAACCATCTGAGCCACACCGGCCAGGGTTGTCATAAGTGATTTTTCATGGCTGTTACTTGTTATTGTATAGATGTTCCATTATGTTACCTTATTGATGTATTAAACTATCTTCTCTGTTTATTTTACAGCTAGAGGACAGAGAAACTATAAATAACTTAGATACTTCATCATCTGACTTCACTATATTACAGGTAAATTGTTGTGTCTCTCAATAATTATAGCATCAGTGGTTATACTACAGTTTCTGGAAACCACTGCAGACATTGTGTTGCACTCCCAAGGAAAAGTCATTCAAGGTTTGTTAACACTGCCTGCTTTGTCAGCAAAACCATCAGAGAGGGTTTTGCTCCCCTTCCCCTAAATACAATGCCTGTTGCAAAGGACTCACCATCTTGACTTTCCACTCAATTACTATGGCTTCCCTGTAACGGAGAGGGCATATTTGGGAAAGTTTTTTGCTGATTTGATTGCTGAGGGCATCCTCTGCAGAAAGACTGTTAGGTCAAATAGCAAGGGGGACTCCCTCCCTAAGGAAGATGGATGGGGTCCAGACTAGGATGGGGGTGGGGGGCAGAGCACAGACATCACAGCTGGGACAGGTGGATTCCAAGACTTCTGTTTCTGCCTTTGAGAGTATTTCTTATGGAAAACGAAGGGATTTTTTTGATTATATCATCCTGTTTCATTACCATCTGTGTAAATATTAAACCTTAGATGAGAACAAAAGAGATGTGGACTAACTTACAGGTATGATTTCAATAAATTTGGGTCTTGAGTTTCCTTTTAATGTTTCTGCCAGACTTATATGTATGTAAACTGTTGGAATAAACTTACTTGGGTCTAATTTTTGATTTTTTTTAATCCTCACCCAGGGATATTTTTTCCATTGGGTTTTTTGGTTTTTTTTAGAGGGGGCGGGGTGCAGAGAGAAAGAAACATTGATGTGAGAGACACATCAACTGGTTGCCTCCCGTACACACCCCAACCAAGACCAGGGATCGAACATGCAAACCAGGTACATGCACTTGACTGGAAATTGAACTCACAGCCCTTCCTTGCACAGGCCAGAGCTCTAACCACTGAGAAGCTGGCCAGGGCTTGCGTCTAATTTTTTTTTTAATATATTTTACTGATTTTTTACAGAGAGGAAGAGAGAGAGAGAGAGAGAGAGTCAGAAACATCAATGAGAGAGAAACATTGATCAGCCGCCTCCTGCACACCCACCACTGGAGATGTGCCCGCAACCAAGGTACATGCCCTTGACCGGAATCGAACCTGGGACCCTTCAGTCCACAGGCCGACGCTCTATCCACTGAGCCAAACCAGTTAGGGCTTGCATCTAATTTTTAATAGAAACTTTTTTGGTTTTGTTTGTTTTTAATATATTTTTATTGATTTCAGAGAGGAAGGGAGAGAAAGATGGAAACAACAATGATGAGAGAGAATCACTGATCAGTTGCCTCCTGCATACCCACTACTGGGGATCGAGCCTGCGACCCAGGCATATGCCCGTGACTGGAATCAAACCTATGACCTTCAGTTTGCAGGCCAACGCTCTATCCACTGAGCCAAGCTGGCTAGGGCTTTAATAGAAACTGTTCTAAAGAAATGAAAATACAATTAGCTTATTTCAGCCCTTGATTGTTGTTACTGGTTTTTTTTTTATGTCAACTGTGCTGCTTAATTAGAACACCTTTCAGATAAGATCTCCATTTGCTCTGCCAGGCAGGGCAAGGTTGGTTGTCACTGGTTAAGTAGAACCCCAGCCTCAAGAAGCATGCAAACCTCAAAAAATAAAACTTCGTGGAACCCAGCTCACTTTAGGGCTGATGTCTCTCCAGCTGTGAAGAGATGCATTTTATTTATTCCTATGAAAAGAAAGGAAGAGCCAGGTCTGGTTGTTTCATTGAGTTTTTGTTCTAGGTCGAAGACTCCCAAGTTAAAATGGAAAGCATATAACCCTTTCCAGAGACAAATAGGAATATATTCAGTTTTTCTTTGGAAAAAGTTAAGGAGAGAATTGTTCTGCCTGGAGTGATCCTTTGTTTTGCTCATAGAGTTTTACTTCCTAAAGTAGCATATATTATGTTAAAAACAAGTTGATTAATAGTTAAATGAACCTATGAATAAAGTGAACAATTTCCTAGGGCTTCCTAGAATGGCAGGTCTATTCCCAGGGGAAGATACAGACCATCCACAACCATTTATGGGGTATATGTGAAGTACCTGTGATGCGATGGTGTGGATACAGACATGAGAGAGAAGAAAGACTGGTCTCCATCCTCACAGGGCCCGTCCTCCATGCGTAGAGTACACACATAAACAGCAGTGGGAATTGGCCTGACTGGTACACAGCCTTTGCTCAATCTGGGCTCTGTGTGCTGTGTGTTCTTGAGCATGTTTATCATTTACTCTGTGCCAGTCTCCTAATCTAAGAAGAAAGATGATACTAATAGTTCCAACCTGCTAGTACTGTCTAATGATTAATATATGTATGCATAAGGTGCTTAAATTTGCACCTGGAACCTAGTCAGTGCTCATCAGTATTGACTGGAATTCTATAATAATGTACCTTGTACAGAGGTAGGGAACAGGGATTACATATTGAGAGAAAGGCCCTTCATTAGTGGGGCAGCCTTTGAAGCCATTCAGGATAACCTTTCTGAGCTGAGGACCTCTGACCTAAATGTAAGACTTGGCTGGGAGTGAGGTCAGGGTACAAGTGGGCCTGTTGGGGAGGGAGGTGGTGTGAGGGGCCATTGCTAAAGCCCTTAGGCCACAGAGGGACATGTGCTCACCATGGTGGCAAAAGTGCAGACATGAAGATGGGAATAGTAAACCAGAGGCTACTGTAGGTGAGGGATAACAATGGTCTAAATTGACAGGGCTTCCTGAGAAGGGTTGGAGGGAATTTGGGAATTGGGCCTGGCCCAGTGGGGACCTTGATTGCAGGAGATATATGTAATCCTGGAGAGCTCTCAGGTGACAAAGGGGTAGCTGTGGTACAACTGCGAAATAACAGTTTAATGACATATCCTGTATTCCCTCAGTCTTATGAATATTCTGAACTAATGCTATTTTAATTAATTAAAACCTGATTGTTTACTATGTGCCAGGCATTCTGTTAGACACTAAAAGTAGAAAAATGAAAATACTGCTCTCCTTGCACTTAAGAGTTCTGCCTAGAGCAGTGGTTCTCAACCTTCCTAATGTTGTGGTGACCCCGAACCATAAAATTATTTTCATTGCTACTTCATAACTGTAATTTTGCTACTGTTATGAATCGTAATGTAAATATCTGATATGCTATATGTGTTTTCCGATGGTCGCAACCCACAGGTTGAGAACCACTGGCCTAAAGGGACAGATAGGCATGTGATCAGTTCATCACCATAAAAAGTGAAATGTTGCCAGGCACTGGGGAAACAGCAAAAAATGAAAACCAGATACCAGGTTCCTTGAGAGTAGCCTGAAATGTGGGGTTTGGGCCCAGAGGAAGGAGCTGGAATGCCAGCTGTGTGGGCTCTTCCTTCACGAGCAAGTTGTCCCCCTGTTGCATTTGTGAGTGCTCTAGTCTGTGTTTTAAAAATTTCTCTTTTAGTTATTGCTATCTAGCACAAATCTTGTTTTTTTATTTTATTTTATTTATTTTTGTTTTTTTCGCAGGAAATTGAAGAGCCATCCTTGGAGCCAGGTACTGTTCAATGAAAAATTTATCAGCGGGGGTTTGGAATCATTCTAGTTTTCCACCTTCTCTAATTTGAATTCTTAAATTTTAAAAAGTTGCCATAATATAGTATACATTGTTCTAAAAGTTTACGATCCAGAACATACCAGGATCATAGAGATTGGAAACCCAGCCATATCACCAGATCTGTGAAAGTGGCTAATTTCTCATTTTGCAAATGTATTTATGAGATCTCATGCCTTTTTAAATATAAATGGCACTTAAATGCATGTAGAAAGAGTTTGCATGCCTCTCAAGCTAATACTGCTGTACCCCACAAAACAGATCTTGTGATATTGGACAGTACCTTAACTTTATGGTTTTTAATTCAGGCAGTGCAGGTAGAGGAAGGGAGATAAATTTTAAAACATTGAGACATAACTGGATTCCAGAAGAGGAAAGAGTTTCTTCATGAGAATTCCAAACAAATACTATTCACTTTCTGGACTTCAAATATCTCAGAGCACCGATGGAAGAGATTCTGATTGTCATGTTGGACTGTTCTGTTAAAAGAAATTCAAAGAAATTTGGAAATTGAGCTGTTCAGTGAATGGTCATACATTCAGTTAAACAACTTGGACTTTGGAAGCTAAATTTGGAAGAGTCATATGTAAACGACGACAGAATGAAGACTGTCAAGAATCAGCCAGAAGGTTTTGGGGTTAAATCTCTGGGATGCTTTTCTCTTCCATGTAGCGTGGCAGCTTACTCTAGCAGTCGGTTGGAGTGCAGGTAGTGTAACCAGTGTAACATGTGTACCCGCGGGTTTTCCAATCTCTGTGTAGCTAGCAGTTCTCTTCGTGTTAGTGTGGCAGCCGTGCCAGTTCCACATTTGTGATTGCTTTATTTCCCTGGTAATTAAACCTTGTGCCATTCTATTCCTGTTAAATCCGTAGAAAATGAGAAAATACTCGACATTTTGGGGGAAACTTGTAAATCTGAGCCAGTAAAAGAAGAAGGTTCCGAGGGCGCACAGAAGCCTCTAGCGAGGAGGTCGCAGAAGCGCCCCAGGAAGCCTCAAGCCCAGACCCCAGAGATAGCAAAGAAGACGTGAAGAAGTTTGCTTTTGAAGCTTGTAATGAAGTCCCTCCGGCTCCTAAAGAGTCCTCAGCCAGTGAGGGCGCTGATCAGAAAATGAGGTTTGTTTTTTCTCAGTTTTAGACCAGACGCTATCTCCTTTTCATTGGTCGTTTAATGACACACATAAGCTGTTTTTCTACAATTGGCCAGCCAGACTGATGAAACTGTAGTTTACCTCTAAAGAATGTTTTATTTCTCTTTGTTTATTTTAAACTGATTATATAATCTTTTTTCTTTTCTCAACCTGTCATGGTTGTTTTCTTTAATTCTTCCTAATTATCTTTAGCCCAGCCGAATTAATTAACTCCTGTGGGTGTGAAATCTTATGGTTAGGTCAGATTTCCAATACAAGTTTGTCGGGGTACCATTTTTTTTCAGAACTAAATTTCGGGTAGGTATGCAACCTCAGCACATATTTTATCATTTTGAGTTGGTTTTCTCTCTGCTTCTTCCTCCTGGAGTGACATTCTTTTTTCTCTCTAGTTCTGTCGAAGATGACTCGGATACAAAACGACTTTCCAAAGAGGACAAAGGTAGGCCCCTACGACAGTCTCTTGCAGTGTGTGCGGCCTCAGCACTTCTGTGGTATATTAGTGCATTTCTCAGCCAGATGTGTCTGTGTGTCTTACATGGGGCCTTTTTCCACTTCTGCTCTTCACTCTGCATGTCCTGGGTAGTGGGGAGCAGGCCAGTTCTTCCGGGTTGATGTATTAATGTCATGCAGGCCCTTGTTTGCATGAGGGCACTTTGGAAATGGAAAAAAATGATCTGGTGTCAGATATCTTGGGGTTGCCTGGTATTTCAGCTTTATCAGCACCTTACCTCTTTATTACAATATTTTTCTTTAATTGAAATTTTACTATCCAGATTCATTCTTAATCAGTGTTATAAAAAGAACAATTGCCTGACCGGTTTGGCTCAGTGGATAGAGCGTCGGCCTGCAGACTGAAGGGTTCTAGTTTCGATTCTGGTCAAGGGCATGTACCTTGGTTGCAGGCACATCCGCAGTAGGGGGTGTGCAGGAGGCAGCTGATCGATGTTTCTCTCTCATTGATGCTTCTGACTCTCTATCCCTCTCCCTTCCTCTCTGTAAAAAAAATCAATAAAATATATTTTAAAAAAGAAAGAAAGAACCATAACTGGGGTAGGTGCAAAGTATGTGTCACCAGAAAGGAGCCCCAAAGTGTTTTGACACAGATATCAGCATTCTTTGTTCAAGAGCCACCTCATGGGTTTCCTGAATGTGGTTTGGTAACTTTGAGGGAATCTCCATGATCCTAACAGCTCCTGGCTTGCTGTTGTAAGTGGCATTGCTGCAGGTCCTGTTGGACCTAGTGTGTCACTCCAGTTGTGTAACGACAGTGGGCTTTGGTATCTTGGACAAGTGGGGGAGACATATGTGGCTTCTATGACTAAGACTCAGGATATTGTATGAATTATATTCTTGACCATACTCTGTGTTTTTTTAAATAGGTCGTAGCAGTTGTAGAAATTTCTGGGTTAGTGGACTTTCTTCCACCACCAGAGCTACAGATTTGAAGAATCTTTTCAGCAAATATGGAAAGGTAAGACCAAGGGTTTTCTGGAGAAGATGTCTTTAAGCCAAACTTACTGTAGCCTTTCTATGCAGATTACTGTCCTCTCAGTGACCACTTTCACACTTTGCTATTCTTTGAGCTCACAGCTCATGGCCTGTGCAGGATCACCTACCCCTTTATGTGTGGAGGTGACAGATCTGTAGAAGCTCCCAGACCCCCTCTACTTTCTGTTTCTTCTCCCTCATCCTCTGCCCCCAAGCTACCACTTTTTTGAGGCTTCAGGATTTAAACCCAAGAAGGGCTGCAGGGGCTGTAGCAAAGGGCAGGGCAGAGAGATGCTGTCAGCACTTCTGTGAGACAGTGGTAACTGCAGGACAGCACAATTGAGGCTGTACACATAAGATGCCTTTGCATCTTGACCAGTGACAGGTTCCAGCTCTGCCACTCACAGTTGTGTGGTCAGATTCATGTCACTTCCCTTATGGGAACTTCTGTATCATCTGTACACCGGGGGACCTTCCATTGCTGCCTCCTGAAGATGGTATGTAGCTATAGCAGAGCTATGGATGCTCTGCCTGTGGCCCTCAACTGTAGCCTGATTTTTTTAATTTTTTTTTAATCCTTGTCACAGAATTTTTAAAAAAATATATATTTTTACTAATTTCAGAGAGGAAGAGAGAGTGAGAGATAGAAACATCAATGCTAAGAGAAAAGAATCATTGATCGGCTGCCTCCTGCATACCCCCTACTGGGGATCAAGCCCGCAACCCAGGCATGTGCCCTTGACTGGAATTGCACAAGGGACCCTTTAGTCCACAGGCCCATGCTCTATCCACTGAGCCAAACCAGCTAGAGCCAAGGATATTTTTTCCATTGATTTTCAGAGAGAGTGGAAAGGAGAGGGAGAGACAGAAAGAAATACTGATGTGAGGGAAACACATCGATTGTGTTGCCTCTTGCACACACCCTGACCAGGGCACCCATACCGTTTTTACCCACAGCTGGAGCATTTATGGCCACTTCCCCTCTGCACCCCCAGCCCCTCTCTCCTCCCTCCCTCATCAGCTCTTGGTGATGGCAGTGATTGATAGACCAGCCTCCCCCCCAGGTTCCCACTACGGCTCCTTGTTTGTTAGGGCACTCGTGTTGGCTTTCCTCCCTTTTTTCTCACCTTCTCCCTGTGCCTCCTGGACTCACCTCCGATATAAATTACATCCAGGGCTCCTGTCTTTAGAGTCAGCTTTTGGGGCAAGCCAAAGTAAAACTTGGTACAGGCCCTCGTTCACCTTAACGCTTGAGCAAGTTATAAGAGATCAGACCAACAGCATTTACCTTGGTTACTGATGTCCAAGAGCTAACAAAGGGAAAATTAAACGTACCATGGTGATAGAAATAGCTGACGACTCCCTGGGCCTCAGTAATCCAGGTTGAGCCCTTTCCTCTTTCCCCTGTGGCCCTCAGAGGAGAAGGGGGCTCTCAACAGCGAAATGTCACTCTGAGGCCCATGGCTTCTTGGGAGCATTGTAGGTTTCATTGAATACCTACAGTTTCAGAATTAGACCACTCTGAAACCTTCCGTTGAGGCTAAGATTCCTTGTGGAAAATAAGGATGAATACTGGCTCCTATGGGGCTTCTCCTGAACCTGGTGCCAGACATCAGCTTGCTGAAATGTTTAGAGGAATTACTCAGTATGTGAGGGTGTGCCTTTAGTGCCTCAAACATCTTAATGAATTTGTTATCTCCAGTGAGATGGATTCTGCCTTCCAGAGTGCTCGTTGCAAACTTGTTCTTATTTCGATAGCCATCTATATATGTGTTTCTATTTGCTGCTCACATCTATGACTGTATATTCAGAGTGATTTTTTTACAAGTTTGAGATAATGTTAAAGGAATATTTGCAGAACTCTGCCTTCATCTTGCTTTTGCCACACTGCCATCCTGGTTCCGTGGAGGAGGTCCTTGGAGTAGTTAACTGCAAGACGGTAGCATTATCTTCCCCAGTCATCTGCCTCTTTTCAGGCACCTGGTGACAGGGTTTTCCCCTCCCTCATACCAGGGAGGAGGCCTGACTTGGGGTGGATCAGAGGAAAGCAGCGTGAACCGTAATGACTTGTGGGAGGGTTTTGCGTCCGAGACCTATTTCTGTACTTTTCCTTTGAGGTGGTGGGTGCCAAGGTTGTGACAAATGCTCGGAGTCCTGGAGCTCGCTGCTACGGCTTTGTGACAATGTCCACAGCGGAAGAGGCCACAAAATGCATTAACCACCTGCACAAGACTGAGCTCCACGGGAAGATGATCTCAGTGGAAAAGGTAAAGGGCCATTTTTTTCCAGGATTGTACTATTTGAGGAAACAGTAAGGTAATACTTCCATTTGCTTCTATTTTTCAGGCAAAAAATGAGCCTGCTGGAAAGAAAACCTCTGACAAAAGAGACGGTGAAGGGAAAAAAGAGAAGTCCAGCACCAGTGACAGGTATTATTCTTTTCTCTAAGGAAATTGTGGCCAAGATGATTCTTTTCTTTGTTTCACATCCTTCAAGTTCTCCACAGATAGGGAAGAGCACGAGGCCCCTGACCCCGTTGTTTTTCCCATTTGTTGTAAGGGGGTTCCAGCACCAGTCATTGTGCTGGATTTCCTTAATCCAGGGGCACTTGGGGAAAGCCGGATGGGCTCCTTGTTCTTTGTTGTCTTGTTGATGCCAGTTGAGGCATCCTCCTTCTTGGCACTTGGTGCTCATTGCAGGAACCTGATAGTGGCTGGTTTGTTTATCAGAATACCTGATCTAACACACTTCTTTGTTTTGGGGTCTTACCCAGATCAGCAAACCTTAAAAGGGAAGATAAAGCTGACAGGAAGGATGATGCTAAAAAGGGTGAAGATGGAAGTGGAGAAAAGAGTAAAGATCCAGATGATCAGAAACCTGGCCCTTCAGAGCGATCTCGAACCACAAAATCAGGTAGCTACCACCTAATCGATATGTAAGAGCTCACTTCGAGTTCTGCTCCTGGCCGTTGTAGTTTGTTGGTTTGCTGTCATCAGTTGGCAACACAAACTAGATTTATTTTCCATAGAGTTCAGTATTTTTTTCTCATTTGGATGTTTCTTGTTTCTTACCTTAACACTGACACCTTTCTTCCTGTAGGTAGTCGAGGAACCGAGCGGACTGTAGTAATGGATAAATCTAAAGGTGTGCCTGTTATTAGTGTCAAAACATCGGGATCCAAAGAGAGAGTGAGTATTGATTTTGTAACTAGGATATCTAGCAGTTTTTCTCATTTGACATTTCTTCCATTTACATTTCTAAGTGTGTTTTAGGGAATTAATGAGGTTAATTTGAGCAAGGTTGTCTACCTTTTCAAAATGTAGATATCGTGAACTAAAAAAAAAAAAAAAGAAAGCTTAAAAGCTTTTCTTAAGGAGCATTTGAGATCTTGCTTTCTGGCACATGCTATCAGTTTGGCTCCAATAAACTCTTTTTCCCCAATAAATTCTGAATAAATAAGTAAATGCTTTCCTTTATACTTAACTTGTTCTGATGAGAATTGTTGCTCTTTTTTTCTAAAGCTAATTTTAAGATTCAAACATGGGAGTGGTTGACCTTTCCCCTGAGCCAGTGTTTATCAGTCCATTTTCATTGCCTGCCCAGAAAGTTTTGGCAGTACTTCATCGTGCATTCTTAATCTACATGGGATCCAGCCAACCTCCAGCCACCTTAGCTTTATCCTGTACTGTCTCCTTGCAGATGCTCTGCAGAACACAGAATCCACAAAGTACCTGTGTTGTTAGGTGCTTACCGCTTCAGTCTCCCTTCCATTAGGGTCATGGACAGTGTTGATATTCATACATTCAACTCTTGACAACCTTATAACTTTGATAGATGTGGGTCTCCAAAATCACCCACATTTAGTGATTCACTAGAGCAGCGATGGTGAACCTTTTGAGCTCCGCGTGCCAGCATTTTGAAAAACCCTAACTTAACTCTGGTGCCGTGTCACCTATAGAAATTTTTTGATATTTGCAACCATAGTAAAACAAAGACTTATATTTTTGATATTTATTTTATATATTTAAATGCCATTTAACAAAGAAAAATCAACCAAAAAAATAAGTTCACGTGTCATAGGTTCGCCATCACTGCACTAGAGGGACTCGTGGACTGAGCATATACATGTACTTCCAGCTAAGATTGGCTACAATGATGTAGTGAGGATACACAGTGGATCATGGGAAAGACAGGCAGAGTTTGGGGGGAACCCTTTATGGGCTCCTTTGTATTCTCTCCCTCCCATGAAGGCTCACAGAGCAGTGAAAATGCAGCAACCCACAGGTGATGCTTCTGCCCACAGAAGCCCATTAGAGTCTCAGGCAAGATTTTTATTGGGGGCTAGTTACTTAGCATGTATCAAATTCCCAACTCCCAGAAGGAAAGCAGGTGTTCTGTGTAACTATAGTTTGCACAGTTCCGGCATAGTGAACCACCCATACCAGTTAACTGTCCACTGGGGACACTGAGTATTAAGATCCCAGATTCCACCTCAGGCCAGTTGTGTTAGCCCCTGTGCTGCACAGATGACAAACCATTCCAGCTATTGAGTAGTGTGCATCAGTTGCAAGTCAACATTTTGATTATGGAAATCTGTGTATGTTTTTGCAAATATTTTAATATAGCCTTTACCCTTACTTTATTAAAAATGTTTAGGCCCGGCTGGCATGGCTCAGTGTTTGAGCGTCAATCTATGAACCAGGAGCTCATGGTTTGATTCCCGGTCAGGGCATGTGCTTGGGTTGCTGGCTCAATCCCCAGTGTGGCAATGTGGGGCATGCAAGAGGCAGGCGATCAATGATTCTCTTTATCATTGATGTTTTTCTTTCTCCCTCTCCCTTCCTCTCTGAAATTAATAAAAATACATTTAAAAAAATGTTTAGAAAATGGCAAAATAAGTGTGGATTCCAGGGCTAAGATAGGTAGAGCTCAAAGAGAATGCAGTCAGCACAAATAAGGAATCTTCCTTCATACCAAAAGGGGCCTCAGTTGGACACTCACTGCACATTAAATTATGAATGAAAACTACAAGATTAAGGAATTTACTGTGGATTCAAAAGACAAAGTATAAAAATATTTCTTTGGTCTTTTAGTATTTATGAATTATTGTACTGTTTTCCATACAAAAAACTAAACCTACTTTTGCATCACCTACATTTAGTATTAAATGGTGATGAAGACCTCTGATTTTGAATTATAAGCAAAATATGAAGTTCCTTAGGAGAGAATGAGTTGTTACTTAATTGTCTCATTAAATGTTAATCTTCATTTCTTTTCTTCATGTTGGATGCTTGGACCTGGACATGATTGTTCCTGTTGTCATTTCTACCTTAACTTCTTAATGTTCCTTGATGAACCAGGTTTCTAAGAGCCAGGATCGCAAATCAGCCAGCAGAGAGAAGCGGTCTGTTGTGTCCTTTGATAGAGTCAAAGAGCCTCGGAAATCAAGAGACTCCGAGTCCCGCAGGTGAGTCAGGTTCTGGAAATGTTCACTGGTTGGTTGCTGCCCTGAACTGGTTATAACTGTGTTCAAGGCTGTTTCAAAGCCCCCTGTGGGTGGAGAACTTCTTTAAACCTGTTTGCCCCTTTGGTTTTCAGTTGCCGTGCTGTGACTATCAACTTACGGCTTTTTCAAATTATTTTTCATGTAAATAGGCTCATCTCTTCCTGAAGATTATGGAAGGGACCAGTGGCAGGAGATGGAATGCTTCTCGGTGCAGTCATGCTAGTTAACACCAATTTGCTCCGGAAGCTATGAAAATGGAAAAATGGTGGGACAGATGTTGAGTGAGCTGAGATGTCCTCATCCTTAAATAAGCCGAGAAAAAAATATTTTTATAATTTTTTAAAAACTAACCACAAATAGTATTGACCACATTGAGTGACAGTTAATTTTCCTAATCAAGAAAGAACTTTTAAGCTGTAGTTTAAAAAATAATTGTTAGTTAAAAAAGTCTAGGAAAGTAAGAGAGAGGAAAGGGAACAGGGTGTACTGTTTTGTTTTAATGTCCCACACAGAACTTTATGCCTAAGAGGGAAAGGCATTGGGCAAAGGAAATTTTCCTTTTCATGATGTAATTGGCAAATAAGTAGAACCAAACCATGTACATGTGGAAATTAACCTGATAAAAATGACATTTTCCACTAGTGATGGACTCTCCCAAAAATGACTTCAGGTCATTTGTTCTTTGGATAGTCCTTTGGGTCTCCCAACTCACCAACATCCTTGACAAAATAGTTAAAATGAACTGATGACTGAACACAAGCATAAAAATAAATTATTCATATAATATGAAAGTAAATATATTTGTGAATTTTAGCTTTAGAAGGCCTGAAAACTCATGAGGGAGAAGTAGACTAAATCATAACTTTAACCTTTCTATAATGAAAGACCGAAGAGAAAGTCAAAAGACATATGACAGATGGGAATAAAGGTCATTTGAAATGTAGTAAGGAAAAAAATAACCTGGTAGTAAAATGGATCAAAGACAATACAAGTGCCCATGAAACCTATAGAAAGTGGTTCAGCCTCACTGGGGATCAGGGAAATTGAGATGAAAACAGCAGTGAGACCAGCTTTTTATTCACCAGTTTAATTTGATCCACCATTTGAATTATAGTGTGGGAGACGGGTATTGGTAGAGGTGGGAGTGGACATGGCAGACAGCCTAGGGAGACATTCTGCAGAGGCACACTTCGGAATCCTAATGTCCGGACACAGTAATGCCACCTCTTCAAAGCTCCCTGGAGGAACTTATGCACAGGAAAATGGGGATATGGTGTCCCTTTTTGTGAGGTTGGGAACAACCATGAGGTCTGCCTCTGGATGCTGGTTATGTAAACCTGCCTACTCCGAGGCCTTCTTCCTGAAATCTATAGAGATGGAGATGTGGGAGGGTTCTGATGTGTTACGTGAACCAGGGAAGCTGCCATTTTGTCCAAAATGCAGACACAAAACAAGGCAAGATTATGCATTTCTGTTAGTACAAATATGTGTCAGTAAATGCATAGCAAAAGATGGAAATGAGACCGGCTCGCAGGTATACAGAGGCTGGAGGAAACGTGCTACAGTATGATCAGTATCACTACCAGAAGAAAGGCTCTCCAGCATGGGATGGGTGCCCTGCATGGCCTCATTGGCACTTCACCACTCAGCTGTTACAGGCCCTTGCTTGTTAAATTCACCTGAATTTATATAACAGCATCAAATGATTTGATTCTACTGCACTAGCTTGGTTTCACAGTGACTAATTGAAGTTCATGATTTAGAGAGCAAAGGTTCTAAATCAGACTTAGCTATGAGAAATATGTTCTGGTGTGTTTTTTTTAATATTTTTATTGATTTCAGAGAGAGGAAGGGAGAAGAGAGAGAAACATCAATGATGAGAGAGAATCATTGATCAGCTGTCTCCTGCATGCTCCCTACTGGGGATTGAGCCTGCAACCCAGGCATGTGCCCTTTACTGGAATCAAACCTGGGACCCTTCAGTCTGCAGGCCAACGCTCTATCCATTGAGCCAAACCAGCTAGGGCTGTTCTTATTTTTAATGGGTAATTTTACAGAATCAGATGTTGAACTCCAGAAAGATCTTAGCTTGTATTACAGACCCCATACATACCTCTTTGCTGTAACCTGGCTGGTCTTGGATTCATCTGGAAGCAGAGCGAATGCTTTAGTTTCCGGGCTCTTGTTGCTTTTTTTGGATGCAGTGAGCTTCCTCCTTTTTCTTCCTGCTAGAGCAGCAGTCTTGCAGGTCTAGACCCAGCCCTGCAAGCTGCATTTCTGCAGTGCTCCATGGTTGCTCTGCATTCATAAAGCTCACCCCACTGGGTGGTGCCACCAGCACTGCGGCCTTTGAGTCCCTGCAGCTGTTGCTCTCTGCCCACAGGTTGCGTGAGCGCAGTGAGCGGGAGCAGCGCATGCAGGCACTGTGGGAGCAGGAGGAGCGGGAGCAGCTGGAGTATGCCCGGGAGAGGCTGGCATTCCATCGGCACCGCCTGGAGCGGGAGCGCATGGAGCGGGAGCGGCTAGAGCGCGAGCGCATGCACGTAGAGCACGAGCGCAGGAAGGAGCAGGAGCGCATTCACCGAGAGCGGGAGGAGCTGTGGCGCCAGCAGGAGCTGCGCTATGAGCAGGAACGGCGGCCCGCTGTGCGGAGGCCCTATGACGTGGACGGCCGGTAAGCGAGCTGCTCCCACCAGCTACCCTCAGGTGGCCTATGACATTAAGAATTGTGTTATGGTCCCCAAAATCATGTTCACTTGGGATTCTTATTTAAAGGAAGCACTTGCTACAGTCCAATTCAATGTCCTGTACTTGGTCAGGGAATTTGCAATGGTCTGAGGCCCAGTAAGGAAATAGTTGGGCAAAGTTGTGCTGATGAAGTCACTATCTTCCAGTCCCAGAACAGATTCTGAGGAGGGAGGGGGAAGTTCAGGTACCCAGAGCAGCTGGGCAGGCAGGCAGACCAAAGAGCACTTGCTCTGGGCCTCTTCCAGGCTTTGTAATCATTGCAGTAATTTGTTTTTGCTTATTCAGATAATAAAACTTATAAAAAATATTGATGTGTTATGTGAGATGAAAGTGCTAACCACGAGTGAAAAAGAGGACTAAATTTGAACCCTGCTGTGAGGGCTCTGGGTGATAATCCCAGCAGTGATCCTTTCTGAGTGTTTCCAAATGCATTTATCTTTTTTCTACCTCATGAGCTAAAAGACGTCTCTGTATAACATACAACATGACTTCTATAAGAGGTCTTTAGACTCCTTTAGGACTTTTTAATGCCTTTGTACTGATGCTGGGAGTCTGTTCTACTCAAATGTTTTCAAACATCACTTCACTTACTTCTAAAAGTCCTCCCCACTGGATGTCTTTAATGGATCAAGTCAGTGTCATGGTAAAAGACACAGAAGTACACTATAGAGCCCCGATAACACCTCTTGCTTGCTGTCTTGATAGATTAAGGCCAACCCTCATGGTGGCCATTCTGCAGATTAGTATGTGTGATCACCTCTTACAGGCAAACCAAAGCTTTTCTACCTAGGGGAAGCAGATGTGTTGAACAAAATAGAACAGTCATTCAGTCAGATTTTTTTGTTTGGTAATCCTCATCTGAGGATATTTTTTCCATTGATTTTTAGAGTGGAATGGAGGGAAGGTGGGGGCGGGGAGAAACAGAGAGAGAAAGAAACATCTATGTGAGAGAGACACATCGATTGGTTGCCGCCTACACACACCCCAACAGGAGTCGGGGATCAAACCTATAACCCAGGTACATGCCTTGACCAGGTATCGAACCTGTGACTCCCTTCAGTGCGCAGGCCAACATTCTAACCACTGAATAACACCAGCCAGGGCTTTCAGGCAGATCTTATGTCACCCCTCCAGTCTCTCTCAGCTTGTACAGCAAAGAATACTCTGTTGATCAAGTTAAGTGTTGGGATCAGGGGTAGTCTCGGGGGGTAAGTTTACCAGTTCCCACAAGATGGTCTATTTGGAGGGGGGAAATGCACTCAGCCCTTTCTTCCCATTCCAGGCGAGACGATGCCTATTGGCCAGAAGCCAAGAGAGCTGCCCTGGATGAGCGTTACCATTCTGATTTCAGCCGCCACGACCGCTTCCATGATTTTGACCACAGAGACCGGGGCCGCTACCCTGACCACTCAGTAGACAGGTTAGCTGGGCCCTCATCATCCTGCCTACTTAATGCAGATGACATTTGTCCTGGGTCATTCTTACTAGTGAGGAAGTGAGATTAGCCCTTTTAGGTTCCGTGAATCCATTTGAACAGTGTATGTGTGGAATACTGGATTCAGTTTAGGAGATGTTTTCTATTTGGTGGTCTAACCAATATCTCCTTATGGTTTCTTTTCCATTATCTCTTTCAGGAGAGAAGGTTCAAGGTCAATGATGGGAGAAAGAGAAGGACAGGTAAATCAGAAGCTATGCTTGTAGACAAAGTTTTCCCGTTGAGTTCTCTTTTGTTCTTCTGCCAGCCTTCCCTCCTCCCCCTTTTTGCATTAGTGCAAGAATGAGTAAAGGAGAAGGGCAGCCCTTCACTGTTTGTGGGATGACAATTTGAATTGTGCTTCGTCTTGTTTGGAAATCTCAGCAGGTTTTCTGAAGCCCTTTTCGGATTTGACCTGAAGTTCTACACGCCCAGTAACTAAATGCACTGGTAGTAAAATGCTAGAAAGCCTTGGGTGAGTCTGAAAGGCTCTGTAGGAATGTACCTTGTGACCCACACAGCTGACAGATGCCACACTTCCTTATTGTGGAGTCCAGGTGTACCTGTGGTGGCTGGTCAGCCTTCCCTGCTGAGCCTCAGATAGCATCTCAGTCTCTGGTCCACACTCATTCTCTTTGCAGAATTAACACCTTAGGAAATAAGCTTAGTTTTCTACTTCTTTTCCTATCTTACATGTGGATTGAGAAATTTCCCAAGGAGCCCCAACTCTTGAGTGGTTTACATGGAAAATCAAAGGGATTGAGAGAAGGTTGTGGTTAGGGTGGTATTCAGCAGAATTGGTGTCCCATGAGTCCGTCCTTTCCCTGACTCCAGCATCTTTCCCGGCCTGTTCCATCATTTCCTAAGATGGGGATGGCTTGGTTCCTTGGTATATCGAGGGGTTCCTCTGCCACCTCAGGAGTAATTCTGTGATCCTCGCCTGAGTCTTATTTTCTCTACTCTTGGAGATAAATCTTACATGCAGCCAAATCTAGACCCAGTCTTACGGTTTTTCTTTGGTGGAAAAGTTGAACACAGTGGTTAAACTGTCAAGGCTCTAGAACGGCCGTGGGCAAACGACGGCCCACCAGATCCGGTCCGTGGAGCCAAAAGAACGGAGGGTTCTCTTGCTCTCCCTTCCGCTCCTTCACCAGCAGCAGTGTTAACATGGCAACGTCGGGAAACACGGCTGCAGCTCCTTCTTCTGAGTCCAGTTTAAGAACCCATTGTGGCCCTCGAGTCAAAAAGTTTGCCCACCCCTGCTCTAGAATTAGAACCAGGGTCATGCCTGGTGCCACCACTTTTGTCGAGCCTAATTCTCGAGCTGTGAAATGAGGTTATTCTACCACATAGGTAGTTGAATAAATGAGACCACATGTGCACAGAAAGTGTTTGCATAGCCCCTCACACATAGCTGTTATTGCTAGCGGGTTTTCATCTGACATCAGACAATGCAAAACTGAAAGGGTTTGTTGTTTTTAGGGCTGCCCCAAATGGCAGATGTGACATATGACATCAGAAAGGGGAAAGAGCACAGACCCTTGGGGCCTTGTTGAACTGTTAGATGGACTAGTTAGTTGGATAAAAGAATGTTAGTTAGCCGAGGCCGGTTTGGCTCAGTGGATGGAGCGTCGGCCTGCGGACTGGAGGGTCCCGGGTTCGATTCCGGCAATCATGTGAGTATGTGATGCAGCCAAATCCCCAGTGGGAGATGTGCAGGAGGCAGCTGATCGATGTTTCTCTCTCATCGATGTTTCTAACTATCTCTCTCCCTTCCTCTCTGT